CCAAGTACTAAGCTAAACTCCCCTCCACTTAACCCATTCCAACTAATGTTATTTTAGCTCATTCAACTTACATAAACTATCCTTAATTTTATCGGTTGAATTTCAACCGCTGGGCGAACACTAGTTTACAAAATTTTACCAAATTAAAAAAAAAAAACAAGTGTAGGTAAGGTTTGCATGGCCAAGGGTGTATGTATACATATTAGGGTGGTCCAAAAACGCATGTAAAAAAGTGTCGGAATTTTTATGCTCGCACCGCTAGGATTGTTCTATACCGGGAAAAATATCCCCATATTTTTTATTTTGAAATCGAAAAATATTTAGAGTTCGCTCAAAGCGCCCAAAATGTTCCATGTATTTTATATGGGGAAAACCACTTTTCGTAGAAATAGTATAAATTTCTTAAAAATATATGTTTTTCGAAAACTCTGTTTATCTGCAGGAGATTCCCAGTAATAATAACCAATTATTTATTTAGCCATTTTTCTTCGCAACTATAGTTTATAGGTCCGCCAAAAACCCAGCATTACAATTCCGACTTTGCTGTTTGTGGACCACCTTTATACATATACATATGTATATCGCCTACGATCTTCAAAGGTGACACAACTCAAAATCACACAGTCGTCAGAAAATGCGTAAAACTATTTCTTAGCACGTGCTAATCATATGAGCAAGAAAGACTTTACCTTAGGTTTTTTCAACAATTTATAACAAAAATTTGCTCAGGGTTTAGCAAAAGGTAAATAAAAGCGCTGTATTCATTTTTATTGCCAAATTTTGAGTTGTGTCACTTATGAAGATCGAGTTCGATATGTGGACAAAAAAAATAAAACAGAAAAAAAAACAAAAATACTTAAAAGTGCGAACAAAAAAAGTGTTGTCCTAATAACTAATAATAAAACTGCATCGATGAATAGGCATATTCAGATTATATTGAAAAGTAAAAATGAATTTAATTTTTTTAATTGATGATTTTTTTTGTGGATGAAAAACGAATCTAATAAATAATCTTGTAACAATACGAAAAACAGACCTCAATATTAAAATNGAGCAAAATATTTGTTTATGGTTTTTTTGTGGATGAAAAACGAATCTAATAAATAATCTTGTAACAATACGAAAAACAGACCTCAATATTAAAATTAATTTTATTTAAATTTTTAAAATCTAAAGAAGTTTAAATAAAAAAAAATTACCTAAACCACATACATACCTAATCAATATATAATAAAATATATATAATTTAAATTTTTTCAAAGCTTTGCTATCGATGAGTGGGCCTAAACATTTATATTTACATTTGGGGTATTCACAACAGTGTCGTAAGTGCCGCATTGTTTATGTCGTAGACTTTAAAAGCTTACATACATTTTTGGAGGATTTTTTACCACACTATTTTTTAACACTGTGAATATTCACAATATGACTTTCATGGTTTCCAATTAATAAATTTTACGCCGTCTCAATTTTACCACATACAACTACACGAGACCATTGTAAATACCCAAATAAAAAGAAAAAAAAATAGTTCTTTTTAAGAAAACAAAGCAATTGCAAAACCACACCATAATATGTTTTAACGTAAAAATTGGATTTTTTTTTAAGAAACTAAAAATAATTATATGTATCTAAATATTTATTTTACANCCTTAATAAATTTTACGCCGTCTCAATTTTACCACATACAACTACACGAGACCATTGTAAATACCCAAATAAAAAGAAAAAAAAAATAGTTCTTTTTAAGAAAACAAAGCAATTGCAAAACCACACCATAATATGTTTTAACGTAAAAATTGGATTCTTTTTTAAGAAACTAAAAATAATTATATGTATCTAAATATTTATTTTACACTATTCACATTAAAATTTAACAACCTAATATTATATCGAATAAATATGAGCGCATCAGAGGAAAAATTGAAATTTGGTTTATGACGCTTTCTAATAATTTAAGTTCTAAAAATGCAATGCGATTAGTCATAAGTGAAGCAAAACTTTTGGTCGGCAACACCCTTTTCTCAGGCGCGGTCACAAATATTTTCTTAAGATTTACAAAATAAATTTTTTTGGATTCGAAAACGAAAGTAAAATTTTTAAAACTTAAAAATCTAATCTGTGGTAATAGTTTTTATTATTTCAACCAACATTTCTTTCTGAAGACTTTTTTTTTGCCAGCAAAATTAAGTTACTAAACAACAAAATGGTTTCTGTAACGACTGCGGTGCAGTCGAAAAATATGATGCATACACATTTTGATTCATTCTATCAATACATTCTTTATGGAAATTTTGTTGTGAAAAAAAATTTCGAATCAAAAACATTTTTATTTAAATAGGGACTTTATGCGCAGAAAGAAAACGTTTTTGTTAAAATTAAAAAATTAATACATTAATGGTTTTTTCTTTTTTTTCTACAAAACTATAGCATTGTTATAAAAATGAACCTGAAAAACATTTCATACATTTTGAACAAATATATTTTCACTGAGGAAAAAATGTTATAGCTAATCGAAAAATTTTAATATTTTCAAAATTTGCATTATTTTCAAAACAAAAATTTGGGTTGAAAATTTTTTATTCAAAATTTGTTTTCCAAAATTGTATCTATTATATTAACATTTTACTTATATATTTTTCTAATTGATTTTTTATTTCTGGGCTAAAAATAAATTTTTTATTTTTTTTTTTAATAAAAACTGCAAAATATTGCCTTTGAAAATATAAAAATTTAAGTAATATTTCTTTTTCAAAATTGTTTTTATCTTAAAGTATTGGTATCTATTTTAATGAATAGCATTTACATATAAAATAAGTTTTTTTTGTACTTTTTGACAAAATTTTCTTAAATAATTGCTTTTATATAAAAAAAAATATTTTTTTTCAACCATTATTTGCATTTAGGAAAAATTAAGAAAGCAATAAAGTATAAGCGGTAAAAGTTACACGTACCCGTATAAGCTGCCATTTCGGAGGTCACCAGTACTCCTCATGAGATAGCACTTTTGAAATAACCACTTTACGCCACAATAAAAAAATATTATTTCCTAATTTTTTTTGTGAAATATATTCGTTTTTGCTAAAAATTATTTTAAAATTTTATCCGCCATTTTTGAATTATTTTTTAATAAAGAATTTTTGATAAAAATGTTTTAATTAAAAAAAAAAAGTGGTTGCTAATAAGTATTTTTTTACTACAAGAATTTTACAGAAAAAGCCAATTTTGCATTTTCTTATAATTTCCATTTTAAAAATTTATATTATTTGACCACTGATTTTTTCTAAAAGATACTTAAAAATATCTTCCTTCGCCATTTCTTTAGTAATTGTTTTCCTTGAAAATAATTTTCTTAATACATATTTTTAAAATTTTTTATGAAACATTTGCAATAATAGCTATATTTTAATTTTACAGTATTTTTTTACAACAACAAATAATTATTTTGCAATGTAAATATTTTTACTGAAAAATATTTCTACTTAAAACGAATTAAAATTTGGGAATGATTTCTCTCAAGAGCAAATAATGGTACATGCCAACAATTCGAAATGAAATAAAGTTAATAATCGTTTTTTTTTTTAATATTACAGAAATTATATAAAAAAAAACACAGACTTGTACTGTGGGCGATAATGGGTGAAAAATGCGCCTATCTGCAAATGTACAAATATTTTCGCTATGTGTGCATATTGTATCAACATTCTTCTCATTCTCTTAGACCAAAATGTCCTGTGAAATAAAAATACTTGCGGTTCCATAAAAATACCGAATCGGCATTTTCTTCACTTCATAGCTATCTTCGCTCTGCTGGAGTTGCACTCGCTGACGGAGGCTAAGCCTCCGCTGCTTCCCCACATTTGCAATAGTGAGATGTGTGAATGCAACGCTATGGGGTTCGATTGCCAGCTAAAGGACAAATTCAGCTTGGTCACCGTTAAGGCTAAAACGTGGCAAAATGACGACCACGCAGAGGTGTATAAACTCAATATCACTTGCGTTTATCAACCTAAGGACTTGGATGTGGTGTTAGCCGAAATGCCCCAAATATTGTTATATAAGCATACCAAGTTTTATTTGAGAAACTGTTTTCAGTTTCCCGCTTTGCTAAGACAGCCAAATGTCAGCTATGAAGGCAGCGTAGAGTTCGATCCATACTTGGACGCGTCCGAAGATTTCTTTCAGCATTCAAGCAGCTTAGAGCATTTAATACTACCTGTAAAGTTTACATATGTTGATGAGCCGCTGCCTGCAAAGCTGCTGCACAACTTGACCAATTTGAAGAGCTTGCAGATCATCGCTTACACTGCATACCCCAAAATTAGTTGGCCTGTAGAGCTCTTGCACTCATTGTACAACTTGGAGAGGCTGTCTTTGGAAATGGTGGCGCTTCACACTTCCCTACAAGCCATGAATAGCGCACATTTTCGCGATTTGCGCGCACTTAAGAAGCTGAAGTTGGATAAGAATTACATGATGACGCTGCCAGAGGATCTCTTCAGTAAGTTACCCGCGTTGAACCGCTTGAGCTTGCAGCTGAATGGGCTGACCGAGCTGCCGAAAAATTTGCTGTGTATGCAGCGTAAATTGGTCTCACTCGACTTGTCCAGCAATCGGTTGACTACTCTGCCGACAGGGTTATTTGCGAACACACCGCTACTGTGGGAGCTGGCACTTGCCGGCAATCGACTTAGTGTGCCTTCGAATATTATAGAAAATGTGCACGCGTTAAGCTACCTATACAGATTGGACTTGGACGGCAACCATTTCGAAACTATTTGGGGAGCAGGAAACTACCGAAATCTATCCATTTTTGCACGCGCCCACCGCGCAGATCCATACGCGTTGTCAAACCTCATAGCCATGGGTTACGACGGCGAGCGGAAGCCAGATGTTGATAAGCCACTCAATTACACCTTCATTTCGCTGAGAGCAAACAAACTTTCACACTTTTCGTTGGACTGGATCGCTGAGGCGGGCGTACATTGTCCATACTTCTTTGATCTCGCTCTCAATGAAATACGCAATGTGAACGCCATTTTGCGACCACCTACCTTCACCTGCTTGCATGAAGTGCATTTAAAAGGGAATCCTTTGGTCTGCGACTGCAAATTAGCCTGGGTCTACCACACAGATATGCTCGTGAACACCGATTACTGGACTTGCGCATCCCCCGTGCACTTGGCTGAGAGCGGTTTACAAGGTTTGCAGCGCGCCGATCTCTGCGACTGGTCGCCCGCCTGGTGCCCGGAGAAGTGTACATGCACACGACAAGCCGAGGTGTTGTTAATCAACTGCCAACGCGCGCACTTGCAAGGTCTCACACAGCTGCCACGTCCCGAACAATTGTCGCTTGCGGAAAGCACGCTCTACCTTGAAGGCAACCTTTTCCGCCAGCTGCCCTCAAATGGTACCTTCGGTTACGCCAACGTTACTCGCTTGTACGCCGCGCACAATCGGCTCAACATCGTGTTGCCGGCTCATCTGCCGCCTAGCTTGACTGTGTTGGATTTGCGCGCCAACCATTTGGAGCGTTTGAGCGCAGGCTTTCTGCGCAGCTACCTCAACGGTAGTGAAACACTTACAGAGTTATATCTCTCCGAAAACCCTTGGTTGTGCGATTGCGAAACTGAACTGCTATTATATACACTACGCGCACAGAGCGCACGCATACCCGACGCTGGCGATATGTATTGCGCCAATTTTCCCAACGTAACCCTCTTGAATGTGATATTCAACGACGTATGCGTGCTGCCCACCAGCAGTTTGGGTTTGATGACGCGACTCATTGCCATCTTTCTCACAATTCTGCTGCTACTCAGTCTTGTTACGCTCTACTACAAATACGAGCTGGAAGTCAAAATCTGGCTGCACGCACACAATTTGACTCCCGTTTGCTTCAGCATCGACGATCTAGACAACGATAAAACTTTCGATGCCTTCATCTCATATTCGCACAAGGATAAGTGCTATGTGAACAACACGCTGTTGCCACAACTGGAGCACGGCGATCCACCATTTCGAATTTGTACGCACGAACGCAATTGGCTTGCCGGCGCCTATATACCAGAGCAGATTGTGGAGTCTGTGGCGCAGTCGCGGCGCACGATTATTGTGCTATCGCAGCACTTCGTCGAATCCGATTGGGGTCGCATGGAATTCAAAACGGCACATCAATGCGCCATTAATGAGAAGCGTGCGCGCATTATAATAATCAAGTATGGCGAGATTACAAATACGGCGGGACTCGATAGTGAGTTGGAGGCTTATTTGCGTATGAATACATATCTTGATTCTGAGGATCCAAGATTTTGGCAAAAGTTGCGTTACGCAATGCCGCATAAAAGAGGTGAAGGGCGGAAGGCGGGCATGCTTGAGGTGAGCGGTAGAATATATGTGAGTGGCCAAGTGGAATTGAACCAGTTGAAAAGCGAAAGAGAGGAGAAGTGAAAATATTGGAACTTTGCGCACAAAATATACGCCAAAATGAACGAATCACTTTTATATTTAAACTAAGTCAAATATATTATAAATAAAGAGGCTATGTGAATTGGAAATGTTTGTAATGTTGATAAGTCTTTAAGGGAAAGGAAACCATTCATTCAGTTTGATATTGAACCATGAACTTCATCTTAAGAAACTATGAGCCATCTGCTCATTGTACCAGGGTCCATAAAGACACGCAGCTGTTCTTTTCTCCAGCCTCCACCTCTAAGTGCCCCAATGAACATATTTGGGGCCGCGGTGAGAGAAGCTTTCGATTGGGAGTTGTGATCTGCATTTCCTAGAGCCGGAGAATCCCGCAGTTTTCGAGTAAAAGGCTAGCGCTATATACGATTTTGCACTTGCAGCCCTCTCGAGGCTGCTGCTGCTTGTTCAAGAATAAGGACCATTAAACTTCAAGGAAAAAAAGCCAATCGGGCACTCATACCTTTGGCGATCCTTTTGCTAAAAAAGATACGATACCACGCCTCAAATATAAAAATGGAAGCTTGGATTTAGCTCAAACTCAGGAGTGTATTTGGAAAAACGAGCAGGAGCTTCAGCTCACTTTTAACGCATGAGACACAATAGACTGCTCTCTGGGTAGTAACCGGTCATAATCATCTGCCCTCTCATATGCACCGGATTTGCTAGACCAAGCAAACCGCCGAACAGCTTAGTAGTACGATTTCATCTAAATAGTAAGGCAATATTAGCATTTATTAGAATAGAGCTACTCCACGTTGTACGCAGTTGCATGCTTTACTGAAACAAATGTCTGGTGCTAGTCAGATATCATTAGAAAGTATACGTTGATGCCCGAAGCCTGATGCTACGCCTACCACGTCCAACCAGTCTTTGATGACAATGCAGACGGAATGAATTCCTGAATCGGCTGTTCAATTACTTTTGTATTATGTTTTACACGGGCGTGGTCGTGCGGCCTTAAACCCCCTTTTACCCCGTTTACCCCTATCGGTAGGCTATGGCACACTCCCGGGTTAATTTCTGCCTTGAAAAAGGCTTCTCATTAGTATCATTCGTCATTCGGAGGCGTCGCTAAACTGTAGGTCCTTATCCTTTGTGTGAATACATCAAGATACTTACCACAAATCAGAGGAGAAGCTTGGCCATTATTGCGGCGGACTCCTTGCGTATATATATGGTTGCATCAAAGCAACTTTCTTTAATTGAGTCTTTAATTAACTTTATAGGTTTGATAAGTTTTTGTGCGGAATTATCTAAGGCGGTTTAACGCGTATAAAAAGTGGGAGATCGTAGCAAAAAAGGTAATAAGCGGCAGTAAAAACTGGACCAGAACTTGAGCGAGCACAAAATCAAGTCCTCAAAATAGCTAGTTACATTTCAAAGCAAAAACGAAAAAGGAAGAGAAAGAATAGCCAAAATGTCAAATAACAATTGGTATTAAGTTTGGTTTGGAGTCGCAAAGTTAACCCTTGTAAACACTAGTGCGTTCACCTTTATGTTAATGTTATACATATTACAACTTTACAATTAGCTTAAGTGAACCCAACAACCATGAACTAGCCAATGTGTATGCACCTTGGCCTCGAAAGTTGCAGACGAGTTTGTTGCGCTTCTGTGTTTTATTGACAACAGCGATTGCATGTACGATAAAAGAGAGCAAGCTGTCGAACTTAATCCCCGATAGTAGTGTACGATATTACTTGGTGTTTCCTCAGCAATACATGCGTTGCTGTTGTTGTTGTTGTTGTACCTACTTAGCACTGCCAAGATTGGCTTTTCCCTCAATATTGTTCGTCAGGCTCAACTAACGGCAGACCCCGGAAGTGTGCCCATCCAACTGAGTTGGTCCATAGCGAAAGTGCGTTAGTTAAGTGGGGTTTTTGTGGACTTGGAAGGATGTTTCGAGTCGTGAGGGGACTCAATGGCATGCCGGGTACTCATTGGGTGCATCTGCATTTATCCTAGTCAGGTAGGAGCTTAGCCTGCTGCAATAGCCTGAGCGTAGTTGGCAAAAGGGCACTCACATGTCGAAAGTTGGTGTTAGTCGAGACGACTCCCTGTAAATTACGTTTATGATCTGACGGTACGCTGTCGGATCTAGAGGTTGTTTTAAGAACTTGTCCGGTTGACCACGTCCGTTGCACCTTACTACGAACTGCTTTCATAGCATAGTTTTGTGCTCCCTGACGCGCAGAATTTTAGCCCCGCAATGTGCATAGGTGGTGCTGTGGCGACACCAGAAAGCATACCTTAGCGGTAAAGATTGCCGCTAGCCCCCGGCGATCGATTTATATTTCATACGACGACCGACCAGTTTGAGGCAGACGGGGCATATACATACTGAAGGAAATGGAAGCTAAGTTGGAAGAAAAAGTCTATATTAAGTAGGGTATCCGGTTTCGTTATCTTGGCCTGACTGACCACAACCAGGAAAATCGCACATATAGCAAAAAAAAATGTTTTTTACACCGGCACGAGGCTAGTAACCCCTCATGAAACTCATTAAAGTCATGAGACAGTTTGTCTAAAAATGTTGACGAACTCAAAAAATTTTAGTGAAATTTTTCAAGATGGCCTATCAGACCACAACGCTACTCGTAGGGTTATGTGATTTGATTGGAAGACGGTAAGGGTATTGGTATCGAATAATCGGAGCAGATCGAAGAGTTTGGCCATTACCGCTGAAACACAATGCCGGCGAACGGCGAATTTTTCGCCGCGAATGTTCGCTGTAAAAATTAACACACACTGTCGTATATGAGAACGCGCACAACCGAAGCATAGGACGACGTTCACCCGACGCCTGTTCGCGACGATAGACTCATTTCTGTTGTCGTCGCTGGCGGCTGCGGCAAAATACGATCCATTGTGGCCATATACTAAATATTCTCAGATTTTTTAAACGAAATTGAAAAATCCTGTATTAGTTTTTGTTGAAAATTAATAATCTTGTTTGTAAAAATTTTAATTGTACCTTGTCATAAGCAGCTGATTTCGTCCTCGCCGTTGTTGGTGTTTAATGAGCGAAATTTTTGCGCAAAAGTTGCTGCCGTTGTCACTTTACTGGGCGAAAATTCGCCGTTCGCCTGTATTGTGTTTCAAAAGTTACTTTCCAACGAGGATTAACAATGCTATTGCCGGACACCAATATTGAGCAGTCATCAGCATCGAAATAGAATAGAAAAATTTATGAAAATCACGGAAAGAACATCACTGTACATATAAGAGGTTTTTAATTCTTATAAGTTTCAAAATTTAACATGTAAGTAATAGGGACAACTGCTCCACGCCAGCCGATTCTACGGACTGAAATTCCTTGCGGTTTTTCGGCCAGCGACTGTGGTTTTTGTGACCTTTTTCAGAAATGCCTTTCCAACTGTTTTTTCTTCGATAACTCCCTATTATTGTTTTACGAGATTCTTTGGTCCTTTGTGAAAGTCCCTAAAATTATCCTACCGTTTATATGGCATCCTTGAATTTGTTTCTCAAGCTTTTACCGGAACTACCCGTCATAGTTTTTAAACAGAGAATTACTTTAGTTAAAGGATTAGCTATGTTGCTCACAGAACATCTCTTCATATGTCTTAACTGTCTAATTTGAAGTGGCATCACGATGTGTGGTGTACCTGGCATACGCTAATACTAGACATTCGCATTAGGGGCAGACGTCTTCTTTCTTATTTTCGAGATTGACGCTACCGCAGTGGCTATTGCATGGATGAACTATTTTAGGGACAGTCCGCGTAGACAACGTAATGTCTCTGATTCAGATTCTGCAAGGTAGGCTGTCAGTTCGTCAAAACAATCTTTCCCACGCATTGGGGGCAGCTAAGAACATCGTCATGGTGATCAATTGAAGATTATTTCGATATTGAGATTATTTGCTGCAAGCTCTTTTAAAGAATACTCTAAAACGAGTAAATTGACATGCTAACTAACCACCATGTTTCCTATATACTTTTTTCAGATAAAAGATGCCTTAAGAGACTAAAACTAGAAAAGGGTCTCCTTAAACTATGACCACAACTCCTGGAGTGCTTTGCGCCTCAGCTCAAAATCTGGCTGCCTGTCAGTTCGTATTACTCCTAACAATGAACGCGCTCGCCCAGTCGAATATCTTCTCGACCACTAAGAACCCGTTGCTAACGAAACAGAAAGTCAAACCAAATGGCCCACAGACTGCATTCAAAACCTGCTACGAGGGCAAATGTCAATGCAAAGAAAAAGTGACCAATTGCTATTTGAGTGATCGTAGCGGCGCAGTGATATTTGAAATTGCAAGCAGCGCTGAACAGGATACGATAACACTGACCTGTGAGGGCGCGCCAAAAGATATCGATTCCCTTTTGAACCAGATTTCGCATAAGTTCACATTTCATGCGGCGTCCTTTAAGCTGAGGAACTGCGCACAACTACCGAATATGTTGCGGCGTCCCAATGTGACTTACATGGCCGATGTGGAGTTCAATACACAAATGCTGGTACCTGAAAAGTTTTTCTGGCACGCCAAAGGCTTACTGACGCTGAGATTTAATATTACAACCGACGACTTGGAAAATAGCTTTCCGCCGCTACTTTTTCACAAGCTAAAGGAGCTAATTAATTTGGAATTGATAATAGTTTCCGATGCTGCAGTGGTCACAGTGCCCGAGGAGATGTTAAATGAGCTCCATGGTTTGGAAGTGCTGTCTCTATATGTATACCACCTTGAAACTGGTTATTACGAACCGTTGGATGCACGGCGCACGACCGTACGCAACTTAAGCAGCGCACATTTTCGCGATCTATGGGCGCTAAGAAGCCTGCTGCTCGACGCAAATAACCTGCAGACGTTGAATGATACTATGCTTATGCCATTGCGCGAATTGAACCAACTGGGCTTGAGCCTGAATGGTTTAGAACAGCTGCCTGCAAATTTGCTTGCAACGCAAAGCAAGCTGGTCGTAATAGACTTGAGCATGAACTCGCTAACATCACTG